AGACGTCTGGAAAATCCTATTGCCCCAAACGACAACAAATAGGAGAGAACAAAGAAAACTATAAGATTCAAATTTCAAAGTCGTGTGATTATAATTGATGAAATGATTATGAACAATAAATTTTGTTCGAAACTGTCATCCAGTAAATAATACTGTTCGATCGCTGTGTGATACATCTAATAAACAAACTAAAATGAAATTATATTTTAAATGATTTTTACGAGTTTGACCACGGATTCATAACATTTAGAGGACCACTGAAATCACGAGAGTATCGGACAGCTGTTTTATCCTATTTTGGGAATCTTCGGCAGTTGTCAACCACTGGGTTTGAGCCCAGGACCTTCCGGTTACATTGCATGCTTGTAAAAGACTCAGCCACTGTGACCTGATATTATTAATTTTGATAAATTTACTTATTTCAATGACTGATATTATTATTATTTTATTCCTTTACGTTCCCATTGGAACATAGGAGGCTTCAAGCTAGAGGCTTGAAGTTTCTGTAGCAGTGGTGATTATTTTTACAGGATGGGTATTGCTAGTCTCATGCCCAGCCTTTTCTCCCTACCAGTCTAACCACTCACTTAGCGAGGTAAAAGAGTAGGATAGCCAAGAATCGAACCCCTAATCAAATACGCGGTTGCCGAGCACTTTACCACTCTGCCCCCGAGGTACTCAACGACTGATAACTCGATCTTACAATATAATAGTTCTGTCCTCATATTTTGCATCACCCTAGATACGATCTCTGAGACATTTTATAGCTAACCCACTTTTTTTTTTTTCCTTCACGTTCCCCAGTGGAACATAGGGCTTCAAGCTTGTGGCTTCAAGTTTCTGTAGCCGTGTTCATTTTTACAGGATGGGGTTGCTAGCCTCATGCCCAACCTTTCCTCTTCACCAACATTATTTCTGGCTTAGCGAGGTAAAGGAGTGAGTCGGCCGGGAATCGAACCCCGGACCATGTGCATGGTTGGCGAGCGTCCTAACCGCTATGCCACCGACGCACAGCTAACCCACTGAATACTGTTAACTGTTCAATAAATGAAAAAATACATAGCATCTATGAAGTACACATATATATATAACTTTACTATTCAAACAAGACGCAGCTACTCAATTACTGGCATTGAAACTCAGGAAAATTATAGCTAACAAATTCTTCGCCTCAACACTGTGTTTAAAATTCACCAACCGTTGTATAATTCCCATAGACGTCAAGGATAAGCCACCACGTCTGACCAACTCAATGCACATTCATAAATTCAACTCTTCTTATGAAGACAGTCACATGCGTAGAATGACTCGGAAAACCCACCACCACCTTCTTCAGCACTCTCCAACGTGATTAGATGAAGGTAGGCGTCATAATATCGATCAGGGGTCACATATTGGCACACCATGTCGATACGGATCACAAGATTGATAAAATCAATCATCTTTCACATTTCTATTCCAGGTGTCACCTCGATTCTCTAGTTTGCTACGTCTTCAGTTGTTGATCATAGCTGAGGTAGTCATCATTAAACATTTTTCAGCCGAATCTTTGTGTTCAGCAAGGGTTTGTACAATCATCATCCTTCTCATTCCCATCAAACCTGACGTAGAATTTTTATCTTTATGACGTTGGATAGCCGTAAATGTCATTTTTATTTGTATTGTTAACTTAATTATCAACATCGTACTGTGCTACAGGTGCATGCTTCCATTTTACTTCCACAATTTGGTACCATTTTACTTATATTCACCTTGATTCGGTGGCACAGTGGCAGAATGCTCGCCAACATGCATTTGGTTCGGAGTTCGATCTCCTGTAAGCACACTCCTTTACCTCGTTAAAACAGTAATGAGACTGGTAAAAAGGGAAGGTTGGTCGTGAGACTAGTAACCCCATCCTGTAAAAATAATCACCACTGCTACAGAAACTTCAAGCCTATGTTCCACTGGGAATGTGAAGGAATAAAGAAAATATTCACCTCGATTATATCTGATTCTACTGATCCACATTGTTTCAAATGTCTATAAGTGATTTAATATCATGTAGCTGTAATGGCTGAAGAGAGTTTAGTGGAAGTAAGTATTTTTCTTGCCTAAATCATGTTCTACAATTTCAAGTGGTTTGAACTTCCTTTATTTCACTGCAAAATCCTCTTAAACAATATTTCACCCACTATAAATAAATAGTCTGTCAAGATAAACAAGCATTTCTGTATTAAAATAAAAGTCGTAATTCATTTTTGGCTTCTTTAGAATATCACACCTACTAATGTATGCTCTAAATAAACTCCATATATTGTTATTTTTTCATATTAATTGTTTCCCTTTATTTCGGTTTGTGGAGATTTTTAAAAATAAATCAAGTAAAAAAGTAATTAAGGCAAAAAATGATTCATGTTTCGGTTTTCAAGTGGTCGGTAATGCGGCTGTCTTATCCTGGATGTCGGTCAGATTCGATTCATTAGATGTACTTTACACTCTCTGAGTAAAATGGCTCATTACTGTGTCCGGTAAGGTCTGATTAACTTTTAAATTTCTTAATAAACGACTGGATTGTAGAAAGAATACATTGATATTAGAAACTACTAGATTTTCGGCAGTCTTAGAGTTTCAACAATTACATATTTTTCTTCACTGTTACTTGGAGCGACCACAATTACTTTTTAAATAAAAGTTACCACTGAGTTTAAATTTTTCTGACTAGAGAACTATCTGACTTGGGCGCGAATCTTGCAAGTGATATAAGTTCCTTCAGGATGGTAAGTACATCGAGCCCCAAAAAGTATGGGTCCCAAGTCAAGCCTGGCTATCCATCGATCGCCTGTGACACACCAAACACCAATCTGCAATGCGTTGCGATGGCAGGTCACCTAGCTTGACGACAAAACTAGTAATTTGACTGACAAAACTCAGTCAGCGCAAACAGTTTGTACTTTTAAGGGTATACGTCGGTGAAAAACGCTATGAAATGCAAACATCATTATCAGGTGAATCATATGCTGTGCCGTTTTACCTACTTTTCAAAAATTAGATAAGGCTGAATTATGAAAAAAACATTTTACCTGAGAATTATGAGCAGAGAAACCTTTATGTCAGAGAATGTAATTTATCAGCATCAAGCAATACTCCTAAATTATTTTGAATGTAATTTGTTAATCAATATATCAAAATACTTCCGATGAAAACAATTATACTAATAATAATATAGATATAATAGCCAATAGAATATCAACTAAAAATAAGTGGAATTTCCACAAAAATTCAGGGTCATTCAAACCTAGATGGCCAAGGCAAGGATAATGTCTGAACTAGCTTCTTTTGGACGCATAAATTAGGCTTCGTAATGTGTATCCCAACAGCCAGCCTCAGCAATATTTAGCAATCGAACTCTTAAGGAGAAATTGAGATTTGTTGGTATGCCGTATATGACCCTGAAAGCCGCCTGGTTAACATCAACCTTGTGTTCTGCATCTACAAGATAAGATAGAATAAAATAGGTTGATGTTAACCAGGCTCTCAAGGTCATTTAGCGCATACCAACAAATCTCAATTCCGCCTTAAGAGTTCAATTACTAAATATTGCTGAGGCTGTTGGGATCCACATTAAGAAGCATAATTTATGCGTCCAGAAGAAGCTAATTCAGACATTGTCCTTACCTTGGCCCTCTTGGTTTGAATGATCTTCAATTTTTGTGGAACTTTTCTAATTTTAGTTGATATTCTATTTGCTGCTATATCTTTATTATTATTATTATTATGTTTAAGCATCTTTAATGAACTGTGTAATTCCATTGATCTTACTTTACAAATCGATATTATTTGAAAAACACTAATATTGTTATTGACTACTATTCTAGAATATTCTATGTATATAAACATGCATATGTAATTGTAGAGCCAGAAGAGGAAATTATCGCAAAGGATATTCTTTGCTCAATTATTTTGTGTTTTATAGATATCAAATGTAATCACACGACTTCGAAACTTGAGTTTTATACTTTTCCTTGTTCTCTCCTACTTGTCGCTGTTGGGATAGTAGAATTTTCCAGATATCTGGGTGGACAGGTGTTGAACCATTCCTATCCATGAATACATCTGTCACAACCAGGGATATTGGTGATCCTATGTCAATCTAGTTGTTGCATATTTTCCCTTGGAAATTTAAATACTGTGAAAGTCAGGCATAGCTGCAATCCCAGCATTATGTCCTGAAGTGGCACTTTCGTTCTAATTTCAAGTTCTTGGTCAGAAATGAGTTCGTTTCTGACTGCCTCTATAGACATATTTATTGGTTTACGTGTATATAAACTGACAATGCCAAATCTAACCATTTTTTCCTGGTTATCTAATTTTAAATTATTCTATTTGCTACTATATCTTTATTATCATTATTATTAAAATTTGATAATCTCTAATGAACTGTAATTATATTAATATTCAAAAAATTAGGAATATTTTCAGGTAGCCTAAGTAATTTGTTGATAAATTTCTAGACGCTTATAATCAGTAACTTCTATGCACATCTCAGTGAAAATATAAATCTCTTTGAGGCTGTAAAAACTCTCTGTTCATGATTACTAGTAAGCATTAAAAATCCGAATTCACTGGTTTCCAGTAATTTATCGAAAACACCTGAAAAATTGAACCTATTATCAGATATTCGACATTCAATTATCCTCTGTTAAATATAAATACAAATATGCTGGAGAAGATTTGTAGCTCAGGTGGATGCTTTTGATGTGGTTGTCTTCTCTGAGCTGGATAGTTGATTTGCGAAGCTTTCATTGCCCCCTACTAGGCAACATCTTTTCAGCGCATACTTCAATGCGAAGATGTTGCCTATTAGGAGGGGGTAATGAAAGCTTCGCAAATCAAATATCCAGCTCAGAGAACACAACCATATCTAAATACAAATGTTATGCAATGCGAAAGTAATTATTGATCTTCTTAGAAATACAAACAAAACTACAGTCAAATGCTTCTGGAGGGAGACTTACCACACTTTCTTTAAAGTTGTCACTGGTATCATTATGTATTGAACAAGAATTTGTATGATTAAAATCCGTTAGTGTAAAACACAATGAGGCAGATGTATACTTGAACATATCTTCTTTTAGTAGAAATAAATTTTGTCTTTCAAATTCTCTCCTATGTATATATTATTAATAGTCTAATAATATAGGCTTGATGTGTGATAGGTATCAGTGTGCCATGTCAGACACTACACTGACCTCTGTTTCTGGACTAAACTATCATTCATACTATTGAATAGTTACTTTATTTAACAATTTAATACTTTAGAACATGGCAACTGTTTTTTCTTCTTTTTCAAATGGTAATTAAAGTGAAAGAATAAATTGTATAAATTTGATTGGTGAATACAATTTTCGTCTTATGTAGTAACTGACTATTTTCCCCGGGCTATTTTTATTGGTAGACAATGCATATGCCTAGGAGTATTTCAAGCTACATTTGACAGACTGAAATTACAATGTCCGAAAGATAATTCAACGACAATTATGGTATATATATATATATATATATATATGTCACGGAATATACACATTTGATCATAGGGAATAAAAAGACAGTTGCAGCAAAGATAAAATTTTCTTTTCGACGAAATCATCAACTAGGCTGTACATTCGTGTATTTATAATAAATGGGTTGGAAAGTTCCAGAATAATTTCTGGTCAAGGGTCAGATTAATAAAATTACTATTAGAATTAAAATGCCATAATAAACAGGTGAAAGATAAAACTCAAACAAAGTAGCATCATAATTACTGAGAAGATTGACATATTGTGCAATCAGGGGTTAGAAATGTAGAAATAACAACAATAGACAGGATGTTTGGATAAAAAAATCTAGTTGAATGATAACTAATGTGACGAATAATTGTTTAAGCAGTCAAGGATTAAATATGTAGAAATAATAAAATAACAAAACAAACAGGAGGTTTGGATATGAAAATATGGTAGGGATTAAGAAAAACTTAAAAATAACATGAATAAACAGGAAGTTTGGATAAGAAGGATAATGGGATGATCATTACTAGAAGAATTACCTGTTTATGATGGCCATGGTGTGGACAGCGGTTGGACGTATTTCTTTTGTATACATAGCGTGCCTTTGAGCTTTTGGATGGCTAGTGCCTCGGCTATGCCCAGATGTCTTAATTTTACTCCCTTTGATATGTTTGATCGAATCTTATGTATTATTTTGAGGGATTTCTCGAATGGCGCTGAATTGACCAGATGTTCTGTCACTGAAATATGTAGACGTTTTCGTTCTCCTTGTACTAGGCAGGCTGGATAGTGTTTGCGAGCGCGTTTTTTAAGTTGGATTATGGTACGGCCGATGTACTCAGCTCCACTAGAGCAAGTAAACTGGTATATGCACGTTGGAGTGGTCCAATGCGACAGTTTGTCTGTCGCGATCTGGCTGAACAGTCTCTTGCAGGAAAACGTTAGTCACAGGCTCGCGGTGGAGTATACCTTCCTCTGAGATTCGCAGAGGCGTTTACGAAGGATTTCCGCTTCAATGTCACCTTTAAATTCTAGATTAGGTAGACGTATCTTCGTCGGGACGGATCGAACTTGTTCGGAAGTCTTCTTTGATTTGAGGTTCTTGTCTTTGAACTTAGGCGGAACACCATTTTCTACCAGGGTTCTTCGGAGATTACTCAGTTCTTCATCAATCAACTATTCGCTGCATATCTTCCGAATCCTTGAGGAACCTCATATACGCTCTTTCCTTCAAAATAATACACAAGATTCGATCAAACATATCAAAGGGAGTAAAATTAAGACATCTGGGCATAGCCGAGGCACTAGCCATCCAAAAGCTCAAAGGCACGCTATGTATACAAAAGAAATACGTCCAACCGCTGTCCACACCATGGCCATCATAAACAGGTAATTCTTCTAGTAATGATCATCCCATTATCCTTCTTATCCAAACTTCCTGTTTATTCATGTTATTTTTAATTTTTTCTTAGTCCCTATTCACACTACTATATTTTCATATCCGAACTTCCTGCCTATTTTGTCATTTTATTGTTTCTACATACTTAATCCCTGGTTGCATAAACAATTATTCGTCACATTAATTATGATCCCGCTATATTTATTCATCCAAACATCCTGTCTATTTTTGTTATTTCTACATTTCTAACCCCTGATTGCACAATATGTCAACCTCCTCAGTAATTATGATGCTACTTTGTTTGAGTTTTATCCGTCACCAGTTTATTATGGCATTTTAATTCCTAATAGTAATTTTATTAATCTGACCCTTGACCAGAAATTATTCTGGAACTTTCCAACCCATTTATTATAAATACACGAATATGTATAGTCATAAATTTCCCAGACCGATCAAAGTGCTTCCGCAGAATCCAACAAGTATTAACTACATTTTCAAAGAGACTGTAGTGAATTTTCATCTTAGCTGGTGTAAACTCCAAATTATGAATTTCACCTGATGTAATAATCGTTGGGCTAAGTAGCTACTTGGAATACAGGTGACTTAAGTTGAGTCGAACCGTGTACACCTCTGATAAGCTCAACCCCACATCGATGAGACGATCGTGTGGTATTTGGAACATTTCGATCTGGCTATCAAATATCCAAATAATCCTGACAATCGATATGTATGTAGTGATATTAATTATCTGATGACTAGTGTGTCGGTGGCACAGCGGCTTGGACGCTGACCGACCACGCAGGTGGTTCAACGTTAGATCCTCGACCGACGCACTCCAAAACCTCGTTGAGACAGTAATAAGACTGGCAAAGAGGGAAGGTTGGGCATGAGGTTAGCAACTTCATCCCATAAAAATAAACGCCACTGCTACTAAAACTTCAAGCCTGTAGCAGGAATCCCTATGTTCCACTGGGAACGTGAAGGAATAAAAAACATCTGACGACTATTTAGCTTATATTTGGAGATTACAATTGTATTTTTATTGCCTCTTGTTATCTGAAAAATAATTTTATCGATTCAACTTGAAGTAATTTGGTAGATGGTGACCGGAAGTAGTAGAACTCGGGATGTGCATTTTGTTCTATTTGGCGCTAATAACTTGGATGTACCTGCATTGCCTAGTCGGTGATGGTGTTCCAACTAAGGATCGAACCCAGTACCCATTGTTTCAAACGTCAGTCAACCAGAGGGAAAATCATAATTGATTTTTTTAAATAATGACAAACATCCTTTGAACAAGATGTGGCTATCGTGGCCCAAGTGGTCTAGTGGATAAGACTTTGGTGTTCAAAACGACAAGTAGTGGGTTTGAGTCGCAATGGGACCATCACCACTCCCTGTGACGAGTCACAAATGAGGTGAAATGCATATTTTGGACTCTTCTGCTAACTAATAACAACAAAGTCACATTGAATTCTTCCCTTGTTGTCGTAAATGATATTGTGTGAATCACCTAAATCAACTTCGAATAAGTAAAATATTTTTACCCTGTTTCATTGAAAAGTATTAACTCCCCCTGCCAACTCTTCAAGTAGTACAGCAATCAGTCATATACCTTATGGAAGCATGCTTGAATACTCCACAAAACATTTTCCCCATTTCCTTCAAACCAATTCATTATGGTAAGTAGAAACATCTTTGGAAATTTACGTTCGTATTGATTACCATTCATTTTGTTCATGTGATCCCGAGAGAAAGTACCCACGAATAGTATCAACATGTCATTAATTATATTCTGAGTGTTTCATGGTGACGTCCTTTAGCATAGCAATGTTAACACTAACGGAATTAATTGGTTACTATTGTAAGTGAATTTGCTGTGACGGTTTTAAAATCCAGTTCATTCATCAACTACTGACCTGAAGGGGAGACAAAATTAAATTTTCAAGTATTGATTATGTAGGGATTTTGTTTGATTGCATGGAGGATTTCCTCATGACCTGACATCAATTTGAGAACCACTGGAAAACCTGGGAGTACTGGACAGCTGTTTCGTCAGCCTAGTTTGGGACTCTTCATCAGTACGCACCTACCCCAGAGAGAATCGAACCCAGGACCTTTTGGTTACAAGGCCAGCGAGGTCATAGACCATTGAGAAACTGGGACCCGATCCAATGGCCAGCCCATCAATTCTAACTTCTACCAATTCACGACATAGCGCGACCACTTCGCAATGTCTTTTTCGATGAGTTACTGCCTCACCTTCAACCACCTGTTGTACACTACTGGTCACGCATTCCCACTAGAACCTGAACAGGACCAGTCGCTAGTGAGCATCAGATTAATTTTCAAGTATTGGTTTTGTAGGGATTTTGTTTGATTGGATGAAGGATTTCATCATCATCATTAACATTTTAAATTAATAACCGCTGGTGCAGACAACTTCATGTCCCAGAACTGGATTTACACAATAACGAATCATCAAGGAATTCGGTACTTTATACTGACTAACAGAGTAGGCTTATTTATACCTGACTAAGCCTAGCTTTGCATGAGAAATGTTTTCTTGTGATGTAATTATGTCAAAACTTCCGTTAATATCAAAGGTTCGTCTATGTCATCTGATTTTTTTCGAGGCTGGGTATGTCAGGAAGAACAATCTTAATGTGTTTCCAGCCTCAGAGTCTCACTATATGCAGTAATGTTAATACCGGAACCCAACTCCACAAGGTCATATCAGGAATACTGCAAGTAACATTTCATGGAAGAATCCTTCTTAGTGATAAAAGCACATTCTGAAGGATAAAACGGATCTATTGTTTATTCCGTGGTATTTTATCTGCTGTCTACAACACAAATATTAGGATTTAATACTTCTGTTACACTTTTAACATACTTTTATTTCCCTGGAGATAAAGTATAGGCGAATGATTAGGAATAGTTATGATATATATAACTTATTCCTTTCCGTTCCCAGTGAAACATTGGGCTTCAAGCTAGAGGCTTGAAGTTTCAGTAACAGTGGAGCTGATTTCTATGAGATGGGGTTGCTAGCCTCTTGCTCAACCTTACTTCTTAACCAGTTTCATTACTGACTTAGCGAGGTTTTGAAGTGCGTCGGCCGGGTATCGAATCCCGAACCACATTGTACGTGGTTGGTAAGCATTCTACCGCTGTGCCACCGACGCATATATATATATATGAGTCAACATGTTAAGTTAGTAAAATATAAAAATTGTAGATGTACTTATCTGTGCAATGGGATAGGAATTTCTTGAATGAAACACAATATGAGGAGTAAAGGCTAGCAAAAGGATATTGAGGTTTCTAAATTATAAAGTTTGTCAAAACCCTAGTGAACTGTATCATCGTTTTTTAAGTGGTTATGTTGATTTCCTTTCA